AGCACAGTGGTTAAGAGCCATGGCTGCTAACCAAAAGGCTGGCAGTTTGAATCCACCAGCTGCTCCTTGGAAATCCTATGGAGCAGTTCTACTCTGTCCTATATGGTCACTATGAGTCGGAATTGACTCAATGGCAACAGGTTTTTTGGCTTATCCTAGCATGCTAAAGGGAAAGCTGTAAGAAGAGATTAGGATCTGGATACATTCTGAAGATACAGCTCACAGAATTTGCTGATGGATTGGATGAAGGAATTGAGAGGGAGAGAGAGGGGTGTTAAGTAACTTTCTTGAAGAAGGGAAGTTTGGAAAGACATATGTAAATAATCTTTCCTACGGCAAAGATGGCTGGGATTACAGATGAGGGAAGAATGGGAAAATTACAAAATAAAACAACATCCATAACAATGAGCATAGTGTGCCATCCATGAATTGAGGAGTACGTGATCAACTAAACTCTGTGCATCTGATGACCCCCTTAAGGACAGAAAGGAAGAAAGAAAAGCAAACATTGAAGCAATTTCTCTTCGTTGGTCAAAAATATGGTCAAGGATAAGAGTTTCCCTCTCAAATTTTTTAGATACTATCTTTTTATCTTAATTATATCACCAGCAGATAAGTAAAATCCCTCATTACACTTACATCTTGCCTTTCTGCTAGTTCTGAGATTTGTATTAATATATCATTTACTATATCCTTTTAATAAAGTAGTCCATAGTATACTTCTATATCATTTCCATCCTGAACTTTTAGTCTTACCTAGGAACATTCTTCTATAATTCCTTTTTCATGATCATGTTCCACTTCCAACTTCAAAATATACTGTGGTTCTATGCTTACCAATCTAAGAGATTTGTGTTTTTGAAATAAAATATACTCTGACATGGCTATATTTCAGTTATTGGTTTTATCCTACTAAATCTTTGAGTTAAGAACAAGACTGTGTTAATCTTCATGTCTTAAATCTGATTTATTACTATGCATTATGCATTGGTCTATTCATTCATCAACTATTGGCTGAGCACCTGTGCCCTAGATTCAGAGAATAAACAGATAAAGAAAACATGATTTTCAATGCTTGAGTGGGGGAAGACAAGCATGCAGACAAGACAAATAATTCCAGTGTAATGTGAATAGGGATCCTCTGGATGGTGTAAACGGTTAAGCGTTTCAGTCTGCTAACCGAAAGGTTTGAGTCTTCGCAGAGTCACCTCGGAAAGGCGTGGCAATCTCCTTCCAAAAAATCAGCCATCGAAAAACTTTAGGAGCACAGTTCCACTCTGAGACACATGGGGTCACCATGAGTAGGAGCTGACTCAATGGCAACTATTTTTACTGGACTTAGAATAAATAACTAAAAATAAAATTTTGAACTTCAAAGATACATATCAAAATAAATCCATTCTATATACTACCAACCGTATGTACACTCAATATTCAAGACCTGATATACCTATAACTCAAAAAGCAACATTTTATAATATACTATATTTCTATGCAAATAATGCGTGTCTTCTACCTTTGTCTGCCAACTGTGCCCTCCCTCCACGAGATATTTTCGTAAGTGTGCTATGCTAATTCTTTTTTCATATCAACAAGTAAAAAAAACTGGCATAGACGCACTTATGAAAATACTTCATGGGGGGAGGGCTTGATTGGTAAACAGACATAGAAGGCGCGCCATTATTAGCGTAAAAATACGGTAGTAGGTTAAGCTGTATGTTCGTATATACGTTGTCATGGATTGGATTGTGTCCCCCAAAAAATGTGTGTATCAGTTTGGCTAGGCCATGACTACCAGAGTTGTGTGGTTGTCCTCTATTTTGTGATTGTACTTTTATGTTAAAGACGATTAGGGTGGGATTGTAACACCACCCTTACCCCCGGTCACATCCCTGATCCAATGTAAAGGGAGTTTCCCTGGGGTGTGGCCTGCACCACCTTTTATCTCTCAAAAGATAAAAGGAAAGGGAAGCAAGCAGAGAGGGGGTTACCTCATACCACCAAGAAAGAAGCACTGGGAGCAGAGTGCGTGCTTTGGACCCGAGGTTCCTGCGCAGAGAAGCTCCTAGTCCTGGATAAGAAGGCCGACAGAGAGAGAGCCGTCCCCTGGAGGTGACGCCCTGAATTTGGACTTCAAGCCTACTAGACTGTGAGAAAATAAATTTCTCTTTGTGAAAGCCATCCACTTGTGGTATTGCTGTTATAGTAGCACTAGAAGACTACGACATATGTTAATAGATGCTGAAGCTGAGACATGGCTGCTACCTTGAAGAATGACAAATCTTCATAATGAGGAAATAGAACTGTACTTGGGCATACCTATTAGCAAAGCTTAATTCAAAACAATGTCAAATTAAAAAAAAACTTTGACAAGAGAATTGTCATCAAAAATCAATTTTCCTATCATTGTTTTATGATTCAGATTATCTGGATTTATGACAGTGAAATATTAAAACAACACTATCTGAATAATATTATCATGCTACACCTTAGAATTTTATATCCATGCTTTAATTTGAAAGTTTAAAGTGTATGTATGAACACTTCCATAGGCAAACCTAACAATAATTTTAAATTAGTTACTGCAAATTTCAAATGATCTTCAGTTTTTCTTACTGTAAAAAATCTTTACATGTTTCAACAGTGCCTTTAGATACTATAAAATTATATATTATATCCTCTCATATGATAGCGGGACATAGTTATATCCTCTAGTCTTAATTATAGGAAAAATATAGACAACTGTAAGGCTTAGCTTTATTGTTTTATAAGTGAAGCAGTAAAGTTCATTTTAGTGAAATGAGCATATGCTTTTCATAAATTAAAATAAATCTCACATGGTAAAGTACTCATTTTCAAAATTAATTTAATTACATGTTTAAAGTTTTATTACATTTAATTAAGCATTTAAGTTTAATATGAGATAAATGAATTATCAGTTAACTGCTATGAAATGAAATACTGCCTTGATAATTAAAACCTATAAATTTTCCTATTCTGTGTAAAATTGCTAGTTCTCAAAAAATATTCTGAAAAAATATTATTTAAAGACTATAGGGCTATATACTCACAGCTGATCAAGGTGTAATTTTTCTTGCACCCAGCTTGGTGTGCTGTACATTTACTGCCTCCATTTATGGAGCCAGCCTGGTGCAGAAAAAAGAACAGAGGTTTTGGAGACCTGGATTTGGGTCTAAGTGTAGTTGCTTCAGTTACACTGCATCTCTGACCACAAGTTTCCTCAGCTATAAAATAGGGATAATAATACTTCTCTCTGAAGGTTATTGGGAGGGTTAAGTGAGATAGCCCATGGTCAAATACCTGGAATAGCAACGAACATGGAACAGGCATTCAACAAATGTTAACTCCCAACTCCCCATAGTTGAATGAATGAATAAAAACCTGTACTTTCTGACTTTAAAAAAGTTTCATCTTAATTTTTCCCCCAATTACAAAAGTAGTATATTATTTTTTGTTTAATTACATCCTAACTAATACACATTTTACATTTTGTATTTCCCTAAGCACTTCTGTGAATAGAGGCATGATAGCATAATTACTAACACAGATTTTTGAGTCAGAAAAAATTGAGTTTGAATCTGGGTTCTATCCGCGATTTGAGAGATCATGGAAAAGCTATTCTGACCTATTTCCCAGGCCTATAAATAATGTGTTTGGTTCAGTGATTGGCAAAAATTAGGAACCAGTATAATCAATGTATCATTCAAACTTCACCGATGTGAAGTTAAATAAGACTATACGTAGTAGGTGGTATTTTCCCGTCTCTCATTCTTCACATGAGGATACTAATTTTCACTGAGTTTAACGAGTTTTCCCAAGGGTAACAGCAGGATAAACTGAATATCAGAACCTAGAGTTTTTTATTCTTTTATTAGTGCTCTTTCCTCCATAACATAGGGAGATCTGATTTAGAGCTTACTACTTAACTGTTAAGCCTCAGATAAATTACTTCACTTCTGTGTTTTGTTTTGTTTTTTAAATTTTATTGTGCTTTGGGTGAAAGTTTACAGCACAAATTATTTTCTCATTAAAAAATTTATAACCAAATTATTTTGTGACATTGGTTGCAATCCCACAATGTGTCAGCACTCTCCCCCTTTCTGCCCCGGGTTCCCTATGTCCGTTCGTCCAGTTTTCTTTCCCTTCCTGCCTTCTCGTCTTTGCTTTTGGGCAGGTGTTGCCTATTTGGTTTCGTATACTTGATTAAAGTAAGACGCATGTTCCACACGTGTGTTATGGCTTGTTTTATAGCACTTCTATGATTCTGAGTATCTTTTTCTAGAAAATGGAAATACATAGGTGACAATCTATTTCATGGCTTACTTTCCCTTGATCCAATTGCAAAAACAATTGAAATAATTATTTTTAACACTTTATAAAGTATTAAATGCCAAGTCCTATAATTTTCAGAGTTCTGTCTTAATGAAAGTAGCAGTATAAACATAATAGTTTGATTTAATACTTATAACTCTTATTGTCTAACTCTGAAGCCCTAAATTGCCTTAAGTATCCTAAAAAAAAATAGAGATTATTTTATTTACAGTATAACTAGAAATAGACAGTCTTAATAAATTGGAAGTATTGGAAAACATACACTTTTCTACTTTCTGAGCGTGTAGCTTTATTTTGTATCATTTTCATTTCCATTATTACCAGTAAGTATTTACTAAGCATCTATTTGCATTTAGGGCTAAACTACCCTGATTTAGAACTATTCCATTTTTATGAAAATAAAAACAGCAGGTATTATAAATTTGACATCCAGACCTTTCATGTTGCAAATTAGAGTAATAGTAGGTTCAACTATTATAGCCCAGAAAAGGAAGAAAACCACATATAATAAACCACTATGAAAATATGTAAAAAAACTAACATTCATTATTAGGATATGTACGCTTATAAATGCATCCTTTCAAAGAAAGTGGTAAAGACGCATCCTGTTAACTTTGAAATGAGAATTACATGGGTCATTGACTTACCAGTGTTCTACTTTAAGAGACAAAGATAATTTTTCTGGAAGAAAAAATCCATGCCATTTTGAAGCCTCAAGTAGTTCTTGAGGTATTCTTTTTGAAACATCATAATAGTGACCAAATCTTGAAGATGATACTGGTCCAGCCTGTTAAGAAAATTCATGCTGGTTTTTAAAAACAATGATTATTTCTTTTTTTAACTACAATCTACTTGTCATAGATACAGCAAAACATTGAAATATTTATATATTTTTAATGCTAATAAGAGTTGATATATATAGACTTACTAAATTTCAAAGAAGCATAAAAACCAAAAAAACCAAATGCACGCCATTGCCTCAATTCCAACTCATAGCCACCTTATAGACCAGAACAGAATTACCCCATAGGGTTTCCAAGGCTGTAATCTTTATGGCTGCAGACTGTCACATCTTTCTCCCATGGAGTGGCTGGTAGGTTCGAACCTTCGACCTTTTGGTTAACAGTAGAGTGCTTTAACCACTGTGCCACCAGGGCTCCTCAAATTTCAAAGAAGCATACAACAACCTTTATTATTTTAAACTATAATTATAAATCAACCTTTTATCTCTCATGATACTTCATTTCTAGTGGTTCCCCAAGTTTGATAAGAATTTAAATACTTGTTTGATTTTTTTTTAACCAGTACTGCAAAGCTTCCTAAGTTCAAGAAATTAATATACATAATTCTTAACTAATTTTAAGATTCCAGGTTTTAATGACAAATTAAATATGCAGTTGCAAAGAACTAATGAAAACTTAAGACAAATTAATTCATTGGTGAGGGGCCCAAAAGAAACTAGATTTTAAATACATTAAATTAAGCATCATTTTAAAATTAAATTCTCATAAACCAGTGTGTATTGTATATTCAAAATTCTGACACACTAAAAATTAAGCTCACAGTATAAAATGTACTGGGATAATACAGACGGGAACATGGGACATGATTAAGTGGGAGAGTGTATATAATCAGAAATCTGGCATAATCATTAGTTCATTGATAATTTCATCTTTTGTGCTTTCTAACAATTTTTCCAAGAAATTATCTTTCTAATAATTATTGATGCTGAATTATTTACACAGGATAGTAAAAGTCTAGTAACATACCATATTATTATATTGCTTTGAATGGACTCTGAGCTGATTCCTTTCACTCAGCACATTAGAATTATATAAGTATTTCAATCCAAAGATAAACTAACAAATTCTAGCTGGCAATTTGCTCTAATCAGATCAGTTCTAATTAGATCAGCTCTAGGAAAAGCCCTGATCCAAACTGTGCTACTGTCATCATTTCTACTGTCCTGAATGCTACGTAACAGAGATGTTTTAGAACACACACAAAACCAGATAATCTCCGCAGAAATTGAAGAACTAAACACAGAAGGTTCTTAATTTATTTTACTAAATGACTAGTAATGTTGTAATTTAGATAAGAAATAGACATTTGCTTGACATAGATATTTGCATTTAAGGCCTCAAGGATTCACATTCTTAAACTAAATACCGACAAACACCAAATTATACAGTAACATGGAATAAACATTTTAAAAGTCTAATACAAATATTATCAGATCCAGTCTGTGGGTTTGGCATTTATTTTCAAAATAAAATGACTGTTCATCTCTCCAAAAGGTACTACTTATTTTCATTAATAGGGACCTATTGATTTGTTTCAATCTAATCTTTCTAACAAACATGTACAGAAGTATGGATTCCCAAAGCATGATTTATCTACTTACCATGAAAGCAGCCACAAATAAATTATGTGACATTAAAATATGTCTCTTAAAAATTGGGTATAAAGTTTTTAAATGTAAAGTTATTAGTCTAAAGCAATTTAAACAAGGTCTGTTCTTTGGCCTATAATCTATTCTTTATCTGGATTATAGTTCAGAATGTTTTTACTGCAATCTCTGCTAGAGTTCATCTTTTTATTGTGTAAATCCAAACCTCCTTAATGTTTTAGAAAGGCCTTGACTAACTGAACTTTGATCTGATGTCTTCATTGAGAAAAACACCAGGTTGCCCATTTCAGATGCAAATCCCCCTGAGGCCCAATAGAATTTAGTAAAGACAGCAAAAAAGAAGAAACAAGAAGTTTCCAGGATCCTCTTTGAGAATCCTGGGGCTCACTGGTGTCCTTAATCCACGCTGCTGCATGGATTAAGGTAGGTGATAACCTTTCCTGATTCAAAAGAATAAGCAGAGTGCCTACAAACTGGGTGGAGACTAGGATTTGGCTATAATAAAACACCATGCAATAAAAGCTTGGTCTATGTCAGAAGCCTCTGAAAAGGCCTCAATGTACCACATTCCCAGGCCTAGTAGGGAAGCTTGCAAAAGCCTACCTGAATCAAATAAGCATGAATAATCTATTTTAGCAGACTGGCCATGGGGAGAGAAAAAGAAAGAGAGACTTTTCACTTCTTTTAAGTTTGAGTTAATAAATTTATTACTGGACTGAAGGTTCCTGAAGTCCTATGCACTCAGAGAAATATGCTAAATTACCAAGAAGCAAAGTATGCTTTTTAAGTTGCCCTCTCTATTACTGTTTCTAATTATAATATTGTGATAGAAATCTCATATTTGGGAGGAATCAAGGCAGAAAATTGATTTCATACTGTGACAGTTTACATATAGAACACAAATAATTCACTGAAATTTAAAAATAAAATTAGAAACTTTTCTCATAACAATTAAGCTATTATTTAGAAATTAAAATTAGATATGGCTACCGAAATAGTCACAAGGTAGACCTAAAAATTTAATGATTAAAAACTTTAATCCTTAAATAAAAAATAAAAATGAAAAATAAATATACTTACAGGAAAAAAAAATTTCAAGGTTTTTTTTTTTTTCTAGCCAAGAAACACAGCAATAAAATACAATCAGATTTTTGAAATACACTGAGAAATCTTTTGAGGCCTAAAATTGTAAAACGAAGACTTAAAATATTTTCTCTTAAAAAGATAACTAAAAGCTGCATCTAGTGTATATAATCTAAGGTGTGTAATCTAATTAATGCATCTATTTTTGCCATAAAAAACAGAGGTTTTAAAAAATCAAACTATCATTAATAACTAACTAGTCAGTTCACTCAGTTTGGTAAGAGCATTTAGCTTTAGTTTTACATTTTGAAAACTTCTGTTTCACATTCAATTCAATTCCGTTGAGTCAATTCCGACTCATAGTGACCCTAATGGACGGAGTGGAACTGCCCCATACGGTTTTCAAGGAGCAGCTTGGTGGATTTGAACTGCTGCCCTTTTGGTTAGCAGCTGCAGTTCTTAACCACTGAGCCACGAGGGCTCCTTCCCTTTAACTTTGTCAACTGTGGAAGACAGGTAAATGGAATCGTTCATTAAAAATTTACTATGTTAAAAGAAAATGAACTCTGATGGGGGGGCCAGAAAGAAAAGAGAGCAACAAAACAATACCATCATCTACCTCCAGTATATTAGAAAGAACCAATACTTTCAGAGAAAAGCTGCACCACAAATAAATAGTCTAAACCATCATGTCTAGTTTCTCAGTATGGCATAACAGGATGAGCTCTCCAGGTGATTAAGAAAGTGAAAAGCATTACCAGCAGAAATACAAGCAATTCACAAGGAGCAAATGACAAACGATGGTGAATATAGTGTTTTATATACACAGGAGGAAGAGGCTAAAAAGGTGGGCTTGGATTAGATTGTATAGATTTTGTACATCATCTTGAGAAGTTTGTATTTTATACTGCAGGCCGATAATAGCAATCACATTTCATCTTACATAGTAACTCTGATTAACTGGTAATGACCTTTCAGAGCACTCTGCAAAGAATTCTAAGGCTGTGTCTGAGCTTGGCAGGAGGGTACTGTAACTTAGAAGGAGCAATGGCAACAGGAAACCAAACAAGGCATTTGAAGCTAACGAGTGTCATAAACATATTTCTGTCCTTCCGGAAAGATAATGTAAATGTGGAAGACTAGAGAAGGGTGGATTATGTGAAATATGCTTTATAAGGATTAGAATGTCCTTTTCTTTCCTACCAGTTGGATACCTTGGGTGATGCAAAAGGTTAATGTGCTCAGCTGCTACCCAAAAAGTTGAGTTTGTGTCTACTCAGAGGCACCCTGAAAGAAAAACCTGGGGATCTACTTCCAAAAAATCAGCCATTGAAAACCATATAAAGTACACTTCTATTCTGACACACACAGGGATGCCATGAGTCAGGGTCAACTTGATGGCAACTGGTTTTATGATAACGTCTGGTAGACATTAAGTACTCTAAAATAATGAATGATGTGAACAGTCAAATGAGGAAGTTAATGAATTTAGCTGAAATATAATCGTCATCTTAAGATGTTCTGAGGCAGTAACAGTTGTTTGCCTCTATACCAAAGGGCTCCTAACTGGCTTTATTATTTTTTTTAAATAACTTTTCCATCTCCTCCCTTGCTGCTATTCAGTCAATTCCTCAAAAAAGTCAATATACTTCCTATCGAGACTGTAGAAATCCCTGAACCCGTTGCACTGAGAAAATCTTCAAACCATGAACAAAAATTATCCCCTGAAGTTATCTTTAAACAATAGTTCAGCTAAATCAGTAAAAAAATGTTCACCATAAGCACTCATCTATATGAGATAAAATTGCCAATAGTAACTCTAAAGCAGAGATGAGAAGTTTAGGGGGAAATGAGTATAAGTCAATTGTGGTGAAAAAATATGAGTAGCGATAGTAAGAACGGCAACACAACATAAAGAATGTAACCAATGTTATTGAATTGTACATGTGGAAATTGCTGAATGGTATATGTTCTGCTATGCACAGTTTCACCAAATTAAAAAAAAAAAAGTCAATATATCTAACGGAACTATTACTTTCTCTCATTTTCTGTAAGCTTGGGAAGTTGATAATGCTTGTCAGAACTCTGTGTAAAATTAACTGCAAGTTACATTTATTCTTCTAGACATGTTCTGACAAGAAGTTCCTAAAGTCTTTATCATTAATGTAGTTCATGAACTTTAGTGGACAGCTTTTCTGACATCTGTTTTGGTGTCTCAGAAACTTTTTCCTTGCCTCCGGACTCTTAGTCTATTCTAGATAAGTGAGGTTACCAGACAGCTGAGTTTTGAAAATATAAGGATTTCTATGGTTGAAAAATGTATAGGAATAAACAGTAATTCCAAGGAACTATGACTTATATTAAATATTTCAGATAACTATGCTGGATAGAAATGGCTTAATTAGTTCACTTACTCTGGCTTGCAACCTCCTACAGAGGATTCTATATGGAGATTACAGAAGAAATGAAATAGTCTATTTTGGCCAAGTAATAATTTGTCATAATTTTATTTTCAAGAAATATGTTGCTTTGATAAAATACAAATGAAAGATCTAGTTATCTAAATAA